TAGTCAAAACATGAAGCAAATCAATGTGTGTGTGTGTCTGTTGGTTAAGTGGTGTGTAGCTAAAAACATTCTCACGACCTCTAGTACATGTCGTGACTTAAACATAAGAACATATTATGGCTAAGGCTACAGTTATACATGTCATAATAATAATATTAAACACCCTGTCTGCTGACAGTCATCAACTTTTCTCTAGTTATCCTTGACCAGATGTACCCTGTAGAAACTCATAAGCATGACTAAGCATTTAACAGTCTAACTAGACATCCTATCTCCACTAAACATTTCTAATACATAAAGTATCTAACCAATTTCTATCTGACTAAAAATACCTAACAGCCTTCACTTCCCTGGTAGCAATTGTGGCACAAAGTTCATTTCAAAATAATGCTCCTTTCAGAAAGGGTTAGGCATTTAGTTGTTTTATTCCTGACAGAGATTGAGTTAGCTTAGGGATGTGCAGCCTGGACCACAAGTCATGGGAAGGCTGACTGTAAGTGTGTGTAGCCCTCTGTCACATGTGCTGTTGATAGCTGGGAGGTTTGAGTCACTCCAGTCTATATGTCCTTTTCTCTGTTCACCTCTTGCTCCACCCTTCCTCCTTTATCTCTCCCACAGCTGTTTATTAATAATGGAAAAGTAGAAACTTCAGAGTGTTGGATTTGGTCTCTGAATAACTAACTGATAATGCTCAAATGTTCAAACACTGAGAGCATGTGTTTAGCTTGAAATTTTTCCTCCCTCCTGCTGACAGGAACAAATATGCATATGAGTGCTTCAGCAGAACAATAAAGGTCATCCTAGGTCTAGACTCAAAAGGCTTACCGCATCTCCCTGCCCAGGGACTGCAGATTTACTCTAATGTACTAACCTGTCTAGCGCGGCCCCACCCCTTATTAGATTCAACAGATCTGATTACGTTTTATTATAAGACTGAACGGAAGCAAGAAAGGCTCGAACTATATTTTAGGTGGAACAATGTCCAGGCTACCCCTCGCAATGGACAGTGGCCAATAAAGGCAGGATCCCCGAGGACGTTGCGTATGTGCATGGGCTTCCCCCATCACGTGCGCGACATTAAAAATCTTGCCAAGTGACCCTGTGCTTCTCTGAGCGATGAAGTCCCAAGACTCAATGAGAGTTGTTGTCAGTTAAGAAGGTTTTATGTTTCGATTAAGTGCTCACATGAAGTGCTTTTGTTATTGCTGTCACATGGTGCACTCATACTCATACCGGGGAGGACAAAAATAAAAATCAATGGGACCGTCTGGCTGCTCCTCCAAGCCACCGGTTCCCTTCTTCGTTTTCATTCAGCCTCAGCTCAGTGCGAACAAGGCGTTTGCTATTTGTTGTGAAAGTTTTTCTAGACCACAAAAATACGAAAATGGTCTAGCTGGCGCAGATATTGCTGTGTGTGGCTAGATGTTGGGCGCACTTTCTCAAGAACACCACCTTTTGCTGGTAGATGTTGCAGTCTATCATTTCGGGACACTGGCGCGTTCCAACCTCCTCATCCTGTCAGTACAATAACCTGAAAGTCTTTCCTCATATCATTCGCAGGCATAGATCTGCGCCACGGTTTTGACGCACGGGGACATCGGTGCGCCAGATCCACGCGCTCGTGCCAAGATACGTGCCAAATGCTTGCGCCTTTTTCACTGACCAGACAACCGTGCATTCACACCGATCTTGCCACGCGTGCGGCCATTTTTTGTTACCCATCCTAGCCATTGTGGCGTGCGCAAACACTTACGGTTCGTCTACAGCTCATCCGCGGTTATTCTTCCTCATGATATGCAGGAAATGGGAAAGGACGCAACTCCACAGTAAGCACTTAAACCAAACTAATGTCTATCTGAATAAAGGCTGTTCTCACAGCAGAGCGGGATCTATAGGGGCCAAACCTCCCTTTCTGTCAAACTCTACTGCACCTCAAACACGGTAAAGTGTGTTTGTCTCTCATTTGAGAGCAGGGGGCTGAATGAAATCAAAATCTTCACGCCGCAAATATGACCACAAGCCGTGACTTACCTGTGAATCGTGCGTGTGAGTTCGCGGTAGTCCACTGACCGTCCCAGTTGGAAATTTAGACCCCCCTCAGCTGTCTGTCCTAGTCCCGCAGCAGACTACCAGAGAACACGATGCCAATCAAACCTACACGCCCCGCCCCCTTGTCTGGCGTCATGGAGCTTAGACCAATGTCAGCCGAGGTTCAGCCCCTTACTAAATGAATACACTCTAGCTTATAGTATTTTCTTTCCATCATAAATGCGCTGGTCCATTCACACAAACATGCTTTGGCATAATTGCAAATGCACCATGTAGGCTGTAAGGATTAACATTTACTACCACATAAAAATAGCCTAGGCTTCACTAAGACTTTCATAGTCTATCGTAACAGGCTAGGATAAAATTGTAGCCCCATTTGAGAAGTATCATAAGACTGACTTACAACAAATATAGCCACAAAAGAGCACATTTATGCTAACAGGCTACAAAAACAGAGCTACAGAACAAATGATGAGTAACACAGCCATAATAGTAAACTAGCCTTGGTAGGCCTGCTCCAGTTTTATATACAGTACAATCCTGGACAATCCACATGCTAAAACAATAGCTACCAATTATCAGTAGTGTCTCATTCTGTACGAACTCAGTTAATTAAATTAAAATACAAGATATAAGATTCTTCTGAGTTATTATTCTTTATTATCCTTATGAGTTATTATAGTTATTATTCTTATTCTAATGAGTTAGGTCCCACAGCTGCTACAGTTGCATCCCCATTCATTTTCCATCTACTTTTCTTTGGTCCTCACAGACTGTCTGAGACAAGGAGGGAAATGCAAACATTTCAAATCTTCAATTCATTGTTCAGTGTTGGCAGTGACAAACTCTTATTAATTTCTGATAACTGATTGAATACTCATTCCACATTTAGGTTAAATGTTGAAACACCACATAAATACTAAGAACTCGCCGGGCCCCTCTGAATGTTTTTCTTCCTTTGGGGTATCTCATTTCCATTGCAGACTGTGTGTCTGCAGTGCCTTTTAACAGCTGTATTTGTGCTCTGAGGACTGATCTGATGTCAGGCTGTGGCAAGCTAACCACTTGTATAATTGCAGTAATGCTCTTGGTAATCCAATGTCTCCCTTCATTTATGTAGTTCCAGAGTATATACTTTTCCTTATGGCCACAAGAGAGCGCTGTTAGATACCCAAATTGACAGCTTTAGAGCAACTGATATTTTCTGACAGTTTAAGCTTTAACTGGACTATTCATGCTTATTAGACCGCTTAAATGTAGTACTTTTCCTGTAGTACTTTACATGTCTCATGGTGGTGCTTCATGAGCTCGGGGTTTTAGGTGGGAGGCAAGGTGTGGCACAGCAAGTCCAAACATGATCTCACCATGAGGGAAGGCATCAAGCAAACTGTTAGAGATGTGTCTGACGACCAGTTGTAAAAAAAATAAAAATAAAAATCCATCATGAACTCATTCAGTCATCATCTCTCTAATTTGACAGTTGGGTGACCCATCTTGAATAATTAATCACTTTTCCATTAAAATCTCCTGAGCAGTTCTGACATTTTGAAAACATTTTGAAATGACTATAATGTTTTCCAGGGTTTATTAAATCAAATCTGTAAAACCGATGGACATAGATGATCAGTTAGAGGCAAAGACATAATTTCTTCAAACAATGAATCTTTAATAACACAATTATACAATACAATCAACATGCCCCCCCCCCACTGTTTCAACTTTTATGGTTCACAGTAGACAACTGAATAAACTATTTACAGATTTATGGCACCTACTACTGTACTGCAGCTAATGGGTAAGGAGGAGGGGCTGAATATATGTGGTGGCTCATAAAGGTAAAAGGGGCAAAGGCAGGGTGGTCATTTGGCTATGAAATGACAAATGTGTAGAGGTTAGAATGTTAGCAGCGGTGGGGTGGCAGTGAGGTGGAGCTGAAACCAGTGACAGCATCACCACAATGATGGGTCATATCTGGTGAAAGAGGAGAAAGGGTCAAGGTCAGCTTCTTGTGAGAATTACAGAAAGTGCTCTTATGCTTGCATACCTTGACTGTGGAAGTGTGTCTGTGCTTTCCTTCATCAACAGCTCTGTGATCAGTGTGTCCAGGAACTCAGAACTGGACCTTTTCCCATACCTGAGACACACAAGGAGACAGCAGAGGGATGGTGATTACTTATCAGTTTTGGTTGTCAAATGGATGTCACATTTGTCATTACACAGCCTTATGCTGGTTTACTGTTTGCACATTGAGAGCCAATGTACCTGAGTCAAATTCCTCATGTGTCCATCACACCTGGCCAATAAAACGGATTCTGGTTCTGATTATGATTTTGAAAAAGCATCAAGGAGTTAAAAAGGGACACTTTGGCTGAATTAAATAACAGGACATATTACTCCATACGTCCTTCTGTCCAGGTATAAGCTCAGTGAACACTGAACACAATTGGGCAGACGCCAGCACAGACAGGAGTTGCGTCACAGGTTATATTTCCTTTTCTGTCCCTCAGGTGATAAACTGTACCAGTGAGCTTGTCCCCCTGGGAGGCTAAATGCCTGCAGCGGCATCCAAGCCCCTGACATTCAGAAGAAAGCTGGTCATAACAGTAGGTGGTCTCTGCTTTGTAAAAAGTCAGACGGAATAACTTGCTGTCAGCAGACCTGCCAGAGTCAAGCTGACACCAACTTCCAAAGGACTTAGACTAAATAATGAATTTCTACCTATTACAACATGGACTAGGTAGTGTTCAGGGATACTGCACAAAAGAAAGTCTAGAAGAATATAAGCACCACTGTCATCTCATCATATACAGAAATGTTACATACATTATATAGAAACTGATCAATTCAATAATTTCAGAAAGAAAATTTGCACAAAATAGTTCATAATGGCAAATTAAACCAGCAATTATATTCACTCCAGCTCTGCTAATGAACTCTTTCTATGCATGTTCATTTTATTATTTTTATATTCTATTGTATCGTATTCTGTTCTTGCAGAGAGCTGTAATTTGTCTGCCTACCTCTGCCTTGTGATGAGGTTGATGTAGTGTCTCAGGGCTGAGTAGTACTTGGCCAGCTCCACCGCTGGGGCGTCCTCCCCGGGGTTCTCCGGTTTTACCGGGTATCCCTCTGTCAGGGCGCCCAGGCAGAGCAGCGCCCACAGCAGGAACCCCAGGGTCCCCAGCCAGCTCACCAAGTTAGGATGCATCTGAGATAAAGCCAGTTAATCCAAGTCAAATCAGTGAACACTTGTTCAACTGTGCTTTAAATTCCTGCCGTTATAATCCTTATTGAGCAAAGACTGATTACTGTTCAGTTTTGAAGCCATTGCTTGAAAAATACATACGGTGTTATCGGAATAAAAACCATGCAAACATCATTAATGACAGAGCGCCACTAATTACCAAGACTTTTGCAGAAATTTAACCAGCATCAAAAGTCAGGCAGACAGACTTTAAACGAGTATATATTTTATCAGTATTTCTGGAAATTCAAATACCAAGGTACTTACAATTCCCAGAGGTTCAGACGGAGATCTGCGCGCTGTTCCGTGGCGTCTCTTCTGCTTTTCTGGGCGCTTGGTGCGCGCTGGGTTTTATATCTGTGTGCGCCAGGCGCGCTGCAGAAAAAGGCGTCAGAGCTGCGCTGCGTTTAGTGCGAGTCTCTGCCTTTCTTCATGTGAACGTCACTGCTGATGCTGTTAGTGCCTTTAATAAAAAGCCATTTACATTAATTTCAAATAACGATGTAAACTAAAAATAGAGTGAGTTGAATAGGCGCTGTTGCCAATGAGACAAAGAGGGATTAAGGATAAAATCGGTTTTAAAAGGAGGCTAGTCCAGCTGCTACAGTTACATTTTAGAATACTAACCAATATAAACAACCGGTGCCCCTATAGGAACAGCAGCCTACAAGAATATTGCAGTAACATTATAAGAAGTATGTTAGGTTCACCACAGAGTCACTGATGAGCACCTGGCATATAATATTCCCTTTGGAAATATTACTAAATATATATTACTGAATGTTTGTTATTGTAACAAGCATTGTCTCAAATGCAAGCGTGTACCCAAACAGGCACATCACACATCTGTCACACACACCTCTTACTGTAATAACTATCACATTCAAACACACACTCTCAAACAGATGGATACATACATGCTGAGTGTGTTGGTGTTTATGAGGCTTCTCCAGGGGAAGAAGTTGATAAACTATTCCACCAACAAGTTATGATTCTTCTGCATAATGAGATCAGTAATCCCATCTGAAGTCATAAAAGAATGATAGTAATGTAACACTATGGGTGAACTTTAAATGAATGATCTGTAGGTGGCCTTCTTACCAAAAGGAGCTCCTATGACGACACCTCGGGTGATCTAGAATAAAAAGATCTCAAACAGACTCACGTGTTAATGCTCGCTTTTTTGACATGCTGTTTGACTGAATCAGTCCACTAATTTCATTTTGCAGTTCATTCTATCACATGGAAGGAGAGACTGGGACACTCAACATGAACAAAAGGCCTAAATATGAATACTGAGACACGTCAGCCAAAGAAGAGACCAATCTCCATGATACCCACTTAATAAGAAAACCCAAATAGCACTTCAAATGAAACTGTGTCACCAAGTGCTTCATTTACCTCCCATTCATAATCCTTTTGTATACCAGCTCACTGCCATATAAGCTTTCAAAATCAGTATTCTTCAGCAGTGCTGCTTTTTAAGTTGCACGGAGGATGTGTTAAGGGCTTTTTGTATAACACAGGATGCTAAGAGGGAGCTGAGGAATGAGACGAGTGAGAATGCGGAACACAAAATCATGACCGAATCATGATGATCACAGGCAGAAATTAGATCTTCTAATCCTCTTCAGAGGATGCATACACATTTAGTGACTCACTTCAATAGGTATCACACCTTTTTAGGCAAACAGATTGCACCTATGTACAGTAAGTGTCTGACATGTGAATAAAACAGATGCAGAATGGACAAAGTTGACAGGCCATTGAGGACGTGAGGCCATTGAGGAAGTGATAACTTGTCTGTTGATTAAATCACCAAAGTCAGGAGGATTCATTCTCTAGGGAATATGAATGTCTGTACATAATTTCACAACAATACATTCAATAATTGTTGAAATATTTCAGTCTAATAATTCACCAAAGTGGTGAATGTCTCTAATTCTATGCTGCTTGCAAGGCTAAAGATTAAATTGCCAGAAAATAGTTCCCTTGTTTCTATGTTGATGGAAGGGTCAAAATGTGACACAAACAAAATTAATCCATAGAGCCATCATATCTTATGTCAACAAAACAGACTGTAAGTGTAAAAGCTGGGGAACATTTTCTTGGACTCCTCAGTACCAGATGAGTGTCATCTTTTTAAAGATCACATCAACTATATCATGATCACAGTCCACCACCTTTCAAATGCTTCCAGCAGAACATTGCAGCACAGACTCTTAAGGGTTCTGACAGTAATTTCACTTTAATCTTATAACCATGCAGGGGTCTTGATCTCAACCTGAGGTGAAACAAAATGTGAACATTGGATGATTAGAAAACTAACGATGCTCATTTTTCTTTTTAGCAAGTTAAAAAGCTTGCATCGTTGCTCGCAGGACTCAAACAGTTTTCAAACTGCCAAAAAGAGGAACTTAGAAGCTAGTTAATTTTTGGAACAATAAAACATACTGTATCATAAACAGGGAAACAGTCTTCATGTCAGCATCGCTTCTGCCACCTGACTGAGATAGGGGTGAATCTAGAAAATGTTGGATGGGGTGGCCAAGTTGGAGCACAGACTCAGAGAGGGATGGCACAATTGAAATACATGCAAAAAGTAAATTAAGCCCCCAGTTCTATGAAATAATAAACCTGATGAGTCAAAGTGTTTATTTTGCATAAAAACGATACACACACAGTGATTTCTTTAGCTAACTTTGGCTGCTCTCCTTATTTATTCCTAAACAGGGGCATTGCTGCTGCATAGTTGTCCCCCCACCACTGAGGCAAATTGTGCCAAGTACTCCACAAGAACACAGTCAGAGAAATGAATGCAAATATCTTGCTACATGCATGACATAAAAAAAAGCTAATTTGACTAATATCATTTATAAATCACCAAAATAACATTATTTATATTTAAAGCAACAATTTGTCATAATTTTTCATTTTTCATTCATTAATACTGACAAACATCACATTTTGACTGTGTTGGATTTCTGTGGAGCATGCCGGTCTTCTGGCTCATTGGGAGACAAAGAACAACATCAGGTTCAGGAGAGGAAATGTCATTCATTTTGATCAACATCTGCACTGAGAATATCAGTGCCATTAGAAAGCTGTATCTCCAATTCAGTTCCGGGTGTTTACATTGAATAGACAAATCAAATTACCCATAAGTAATGTAACATGCTCTAAATGCAGCTCCTATGGATAAATGCTGCACAGAAGAATTTCTTGGAGTTTGGTGTGTTGTTTTCAGAAATCATTTCTGTGGAGAACATGACTTTTTGGAGAGCAAGCTGTTTAAATGCAAATTTGTTTTCTCCTCCTCTCATCAGCCTCTTGGTTTGGACAATAAGTTCTCCCCCAAGATTTGCTAAGATGAAAAGGACTGTAATTTTCCGCTGCTGTGAATCACACTTTTCAAATTTACAGTGTGTACAACTGTAAAAGGAAATACTGACAAGCAGGCTGTGTGTATCTTCCCTATCAGGCAGTTGCATGCAAATGAAAGAAACTAAACTTTGTACCGCTTTGGCGCCTTGTTGCCTGTTATACCATTTTTATACACAACTCTGACATCTAAATTGCTGCTTTTGACTATACACTATTGTGCTATGGTGACAATATGTTACTTCTGGTAAGCAAGCACTACTATTACTTAGATAGAACATCAGCAGCCCCTTGTCTGGCTACGTGGGCTGTAGCTTCAAGCGGAGGGTTTCTGGGATGTTTGTCATTGATTAAATTAACCATTGTGATGAGACTACCAGTTTTTTTTTTTATCTTAGATTGGTCAGTACAACTGAAAAATATTTATTTTACACTCTAATACTTATTCAGTATAATTTGTGTAAATGCATTAAAAATACTTGGATTATTTTTACAGAGCTAGTCTCATTTGTGCTTGTCACGTCTCTGAGCTGTTAGATATCAACACTTCAAAGGAGCATGTTCCCAAATTGTTCTTTCTCCTTTTGGCTTTGACATTAATTGACAGCCTTTGCAAGCAATTTCTGAACATAACATCTTTGAGAAGAACACATGCTTTTCTCCACTTTCAGTTCAGAATATCTGCTTACTGAGGAAATTGCAAGAAATTAATGTCATTCTCTTATTTGTTCTTTTCTCACTCTAATTAAGCCCCATTCTTTTAACTGTCAGTGTTTTTAGTTTTACCTGTTCTGTCAGTGTTCTTTGGTGTCTTATGTGATCTTTGTAATTCAGTGTGTGTATGTGTGTAAATGTGTCTCTGCTGCATCTGCTCCTAGGGTGAAAGCAGCACAAATGTCACATCAAGAGAATCATCACTTAAGGTCCTTTGACTGATGGGATGAACAGAAAGTCAAGCCACCAATCTATGATAAGCAGGTTTGGCTCAGGTGTGGAGGTCAAAGGACGAAAGAAAGCTGATGAAAGTTGTAACCATGTCTCAGGGCACTAAACTTAGTTGTATATCTGTTGTGACCTAAATTACACAGTCTGTTGGCTACTGTTTGTTGAACACTTGTAGATTTAAAGGGATTCAGGTACTAATCAATCTTATGTGTTGTTAATCAGTACTATTACTGACTAAGCCTTCTATATTCACATTAAATAGATTTTTTTTACCAGTATAATTTCTGTCTAAATGTAGCTGTATTTATAAACTACAAAATCAGTGTTAATTTTCTGATAATCTTTAGAGGTCATGGTAGATGCAGTGTTGTAGTACTCAACTCCAGACTTTCAGGACTTGTCATGACTCAACTTGGACTTGAGCATTGTCTGCATATGAACTCGGTAGCTGGAGACAAGGACTTTTATTTTTGTAATTGTCCATAATAATTTGCCATAAAATATTGATTTTAAAACCTGTTTACCCATACCATGCTGTATCCAGCACACTTCCATTGAACTGTATGCTCGGCCTTTCTATAAATAGTTTTTATGTATCAAATTGCCAAGCAAAATGGTGGAGCATTACACTATTAGAACATTTGGAATATAAAATGATGGGAGCTGTGTCAGTTGTGTTTAATGTAAACCTTGATGACTCTGACTTGAGTAACAGGGACTCGACTTGGGCTTGACTCAGACTCAGACAACAATCAACATGTCTATATTAGATCTGATCAACCTCTCTCTAGTATGCTCCACAGGCTTTTAAAGTTGCTGTAATTAAACTTTTACTCAAAGAGCCTAGTCTTGACCATGGTGTTCTGGCTAATTATAGACCAATCTCCCATTTATTTCTGAAATCCTTGAAAAAGTTGTTGCAAAGCAGTTCTGTGGTCACTTGCACAAGAATGATTTATTTGAGGATTTTCAGTCAGGATTTAGAGTCCATCATAGTACAGAAACTGCACTGGTGAAAGTCACCAATGATCTCCTCCTAGCCTTAGTCA